CCTTAACGATAACCCTCCTGTGGTCTTGGCCCTGGCCGCGCACAGCCTTAACGATAACCCTCCTGTGGTCTTGGCCCTGGTCGTCGCGCTTGTGTGTGTGTCTCTCAGCATCAACACTCCAAACAGCTACTTTTTAAAAATGCAACAGAGAATGAAGAACAAAAATGCCCCGTGTAATCCCACATTTTTTGACATTAAAAAGAAGTAACCACGTGTACACGTGGTTAGAACGTTTAAACAGGAATCAAAACACAAAAGGCAGCCCACAGTCCTCTTCCCGCCACCCCGCTCCTCTTCCCCAAGGCCATTCTTGCCTTCCAGAAAGCAGGAATACCTCTGTAACCAGTTGCCATCAGATTACTCCTGACTCATGGCGACCTCGTGTGTCAGAGCAGAACTGTGCTTCATAGGGTTTTCAGTGGCTGAATTTTCGGAATTAGTTCCAGGCCTTTCTTTCCAGGTGCCTCTGGGTGAACTTGAACCTCCAACCTTTCAGTTAGCAGCCAAGTACATCAACCATTTGCACTGCCCAGGGACTCCCATGCCTCTCTGTATTTGTCCTGTAAATTTATGCACCGAAGGGCAGTGTTCCACGCTCTGCCAGTGCTTCTTCCCCTGTGGGTGTCTGAGAGACCTGCCATGTTAGGACATACTCTGTTCTCAGGGTTGAGGCTGCAGGGACTTCCTGAGGGAAGGACAACGAGCTGTTCCCAGAGCTGCAGAGAAGTCCCTAGTATGCGCCATATGAGCGGAGCCACAGAGTAATACTTTTGCAGTGGCATTGCTGGGTCAAAGGATCATAATTGCTTCGCATACTTTCTCTGGGAGAGGCTTATGTTTCTGCCGAGTCTGGGCCAGAAGCTAAGGCTGGCAGGGAACCCAGCCACCCAGGCTGTAGTCTCTGATCTTCATCAGTAAGTGCTTCGAGTCCTCTTCACTTTCAGCAAGCAAGGTTGTGTCATCTGCATAATGCAGGTTGTTAATGAGTCCAATCCTGATGCCACGTTCTTCATATAGTCCAGCTTCTCGTATTGTTTGATCAGCATACAGATTGAATAAGTATGGTGAAAGGATACAACCCTGACGCACACCTTTCCTGATTTTAAACCACACAGTATCCCCTTGTTCTGTTCGAATGACTGCCTCTTGATCCATGTACAGGTTCCTCATAAGCACAATTAAGTGTTCTGGAATTCCCATTCTTCACAATGTTATCCATAATTTGTTATGATCCACACAATCAAATGCCTTTGCATAGTTAATAAAACACAGGAAAACATCTTTCCGGTATTTTCTGCCTTCAGCCAAGATTCATGTGACATCAGCAGTGATATCCCTTGTTCCATGTCCTCTTTGGAATCCGGCTTGAATTTCTGGCAGTTCCCTAACAATGTACTGCTGCAACCGTTTTTAAATTGTTGTCAGCAAAATGTTACTTGAGTGTGTTATTAATGATATTGTTTGATAATTTTCGCATTCTGTTGGATCACCTTTCTTTGGAACGGGGAGGTATATGGAGCCCCTCCAGTCGGTTGGCCGGTAGCTGTCTTCCAAATTTCTTGGCATAGGTGAGTGAGCGCTTCCAGCGTTGCATCCATTTGTTGAAACATCTCAGTTGGTACTCCATCAATTCCTGGAGACTTGTTTTTCAGCAGTGCCTTTGGTGGAGCTTGGACTTCTTCCTTCAATACCATTGGTTCTTGATCATAAGCTACCTCCTGAAATGGTTGAAGGTCGACAGATTTTTTTTGGTACAGTGACCCTGTGTATTCCTTCCATCCTCTTTGGATGCTTCCTGCATCATTTAGTATTTTCCCTATAGAATCCTTTAATATTGCAACTCGAGGCTTGAATTTTTTCTTCCGTTCTTACAGCTTGAGAGAATGCTGAGCACGTTCTTCCCTTTTGGTCTTCTAACTCCAGGTCTTTGCACGTTTCACTATAATTCTTTACCGTGTTTTCGCGAGCTGCCCTTTGACATCTTCTGTTCAGCTCTTTTACATCATCATTTCTTCCTTTCGCTTTAGCTACTCAATTCAAGAGTAAGTTTCAGAGTCTCTTCTGTCATCCATTTTGGTCTTTTCTTTCTTGTTTTTTTTTTTTAATGACCTTTTGCTTTCATCACGTGTGATGTCCTTGATGTCATCCCACAACTCATCTGGTCTTCAGTCATTAGTGTTCAGTGCGTCAGATGTATTCTTGAGATGGTCTCTAAATTCAGGTAGGATATACTCAAGGTTGTACTTTTGCTCTCATGGACTTGTTTTAATTTTCTTCAGCTTCAACTTGAACTTGCATATGAGCAATCGATGGTCTGTTCCACAGTTGGCCCCTGGTCTTGGTCTGACTGATGATATTGAGCTTCTCCATTGTCTCTCTCCACAGATGTAGTCAATTTGATTCCTGTGTATTCCATCTGGCAAGGTCCACGTGTGAAGTCATTTATGTTGTTGAAAAAAGGATTTACAATGAAGAAGTTGTTGGTCTTGCAAAATTCTATCATGTGATCGCCAGCGTTGTTTTTATCACCAAGGCTATATTTTCCAACTACCAGTCCTTCTTCTTCGTTTCCAACTTTTGCATTCCATTCACCAGTAATTATCAGTGCATCTTATTTCATGTTTGATCAATTTCAGACTGCAGAAGTTCGTAAAAAATCTTCAATTTCTTCATCTTTGGCCTTAGTGGTTGGTGTGTAACTTTGACTAATCGTCATATTAACCGGTCTTCCTTGCAGGCGTATGGATATTATCCTATCACTGACAGCTTTGTACTTTTTTGTGACAAAAACAACATAAAGGTGGGATGCAGTTGTACAGGAGGAGAGTTTTTGTATATTTTTGAAGCTGAGTTGGTATTAATTCAAGCTAGATTGTTATAAATGTAAGAAGTTAATTTTAACCCCCAGGCTAGCCACTAAGAAAATAACTAAAAAATATATACAGAAAAGGAAATAAGAAAGGAATCAAAAGAGGTACACTGGGGGTGGGGCGGGGAAACAGAGACAAAAGGAGTCAGTAACAAGGGAACTGAGGAATAGAAAAATATATAAGACATATAAACAGCAGATAGCAAAATGGCAGAAGTCCTTTCTTGTCAGTAGTCACTTTAAAGAAGAATGAATAAGTCTGTCTGGAAGAAGTACAGCCAGAGTGCTCCTTGGAAGCAAGGATGGAGAGACTTCATCTCACCTACCTTGGACATGTTATCAGGAGGGACCAGTCCCTGGAGAAGGACATCATGCTTGGTAAAGTAGAAGGTCAGCAAAAAAGAAGACCCTCAATGAAGTAGGTTGACACAGTGACTAGCAACAACGGGCTCACACATAACAGTGATTGTGAGGATGGTGAAGGACTGGGCAGCGTTTCGTTCTTTTATATATAGGGTCGCTATGAGTCAGAACTGACTCGACAGCACCTAACAACTACAACAATCACTTTAAATGCTTGAAATGTAAATAGATTAAACTCTTCAATTAAAAGCAGAGATTGGAAGAATGCATTTAGAAACATGATGGAACTATATACTGTCTACAAGAGACTCACTTTAGATGCAAAGACACACAGTGATTGAAAGTGAAAGGATGGAAAAAGATATTTCATGAACATAGGAACCAAAAGAGTGCTGAGATGGCTGTACTAATATCAGACAAAACACTCTTTAAATCAAAAACTGTTACAAAAGACAGATAATGACGTTATATAACGATAAAAGAGTCATCCATCAAGAATATATAACAATTATAAACATATATTTATCTAACAAAAGAGCCCCAAAATATGTGAAGCAAAAACTGGCAGAATTGATGGGAGAAACAGTTCAACAATAATCATTGGAGACTTCAACATCCCATTTTCAATAACAGATAGAACAGCTAGGCAGAAGATAAACAAGGAAGTGGAAGACTTGAACAACACTCTAACCAACTAGACCTAACAGGCATGCATAGAACATGCCACCCAACAGCAGCAGGATACAGACCCTTCTCATGTGCACATGTATCATTCCCCAGGATATCCCATGTGCTAGGCCACACAACAAGACTCAATAAATTTTCAAAAACTGATGTCACACAGAGGATCTCCCCTGGCCACAATGGAATGAAACCAGAAAACAATACAGAAATTCACAAATATGTGGAACTTAAACAACCCACTCTTAAACAACTGGTGAGTCAAAGGTGAAATCACAAACAAAATTAGAAAATACGATGATATGAATTAAAACAAAAGCACAACATACCAAAACTTACGCGATGCAGTGGAAGAAGTGCTATGAAGGAAATTTATACCTGTAAATGCCTTTGTTAAAGAAGAAGAAAGATTTCACATCAGTAGCTTAAATTCACACCTTAAGGAACTAGAAGAAGAAGACCAAACTAAACTGAAACCTAGCAGAAGAAAGGAAAAAAATAAAGACTAGAGCAGGATCATTGAAATAGAGAATAGAAAAACAATAGAAAGAATCAATGAAACCAAAAGTTGGTTCTCTGAAAAGATCAACAAAACAGACAAACCTTTAGCTAGGCTGATTAAGAATAGAGAAGACTCAAATTACTAAAATCAGAAATGAAAGTGGGGACATTACTGCTGACCATACAAAAATAAAAAGAATTGTAAGAGAATACTATGAACAATTCTATGCCAACAAATTAGACAACCTAGATGAAATGAACAAATTCCTAGAAACACACAAACTACTAAAACTGACTCAAGAAGAAATAGAAAATCTGAATAGACTTGTAACAAGTAAAGAGATTGAGTCAATAATCAAAAAACTTCCAACAAAGAAAAACCCAGAACCAGATAGCTTCACTGGTGATACCAAACATTTAAAAAAAAATTAATACCAATCCTACTCAAACTCTTCCAAAACATAAACACCTTCTAACTTGTTCTATGAGGCCAGTATTATCCTGTTATCAAAGCTAGGAAAAAACATCACAAGAAAACTAGAGACGAATGTCCCTTATGAATATAGATGCAAAAATTCTCAAGAAAATACCAGCAAACCAAATCCAGCAGCATATTAAAAAATTATACACCATGACAAGTGGTGTTTATTCCAGAAATGCGAAGGTGGTTCCACAGAAGAAAATCAATCAATATAATATACCACATGACCAGAAAGAAGGAAGAAAATGGTCATCACCATGAGGACTTGCCATGGGAGGAGCTGAGCCCCAGGCCCGCTGCCCTCCTTCTGACCCCCCGCCAGCCACAGCAAGTCAGTGGAGTGTCAATGCAGGTGTCCGGCAGCTCCTGGCTCAGGGCTCCCTGAGCTCCTGGTCCTTGGGGAGTGGAGGTGGGCCCTTCCGTGGGTCCCGCTTACCAGGCCCAGCCCTTCAGTGGAACTCGCTCACCCTCTGTGTTCCCTCCACAGTCTGCCTGGAGGTTCTACGCCACCAACCTCTCCCGAACGGACCTGCACTCCACCTGGCAGTACTACGAACGCACGGTCACTGTGCCCATGTACAGGTACTGCCCTGTGCTCTGGGCCCCGACCCCTGCACTCCAGCCCCCCATGCCCTGGCGGCTCAAACCCTGGTTCCTGCCAGTGGTGACTGGAGCATTGGTTCTGTTTAGTTTCCATTTGTTCTTACGCCCATTTTTTGTTTGTTGTTCCTTATTTTGATTAATTTTGTTTCTTTTTTCTTTGTATAACGTGTGTATTCTCCATAAACGAACCGTGTGGTTTATTGCCAAGTACTGATTCCGTGCTTTGTTTTCTATGCTGTGGGTTTTGTTTCCTCCTCCATCCCCCCGCCCCCTTGGCTCTTGACCCCACTGCCGGCTGTGTTGTGTTGTGGGTGTTGCTTTGGCAGCATGAGAAGACAAACCCCTGAGAGCCTCCTGGAGGCAAATGCCCCCTTGGCCTGGTTCTGCTCTGAACACACTGATGCTCGACTGGGGGTCTCGGGCAAGCTCTTGGGGCTTTAACAGCATCAGGAAGACCTTGAGCCTCTACCCCCAGGGAACCAGGGTCCCTGCGGGGGTGAGGAGAATGAGCCCCGTCTAAGGCAAGCTCCGGGTGCCAGCACCAGGAGACCATACTCTCCTGGGGGTCCCAGGTGCCCCAACAGGACACAGCACACAAACACCCCCGGCAAGGGCTGAGGCAGCCCCTGGGGGCGGAGCTCCTGCCAGCACAGGCTCAGGGAGTTATGGTGGTCTGTGGGCCCCGACTCACAAGGGCACACGGTCAGCTGGCCCCAGGGTACCCGGCACCCTAGGATGTGGGCCTCCTCTGTCCACCTGAGCCCAGGGACTTCCCAGCCCGAGGGTTTCCCTTATGTGTGAGGGGGTTTCTGTCCACCTGGAGCCTTCACTCATGGGGGGTGGTGGGGCAGAGCTGTGCTGGACTTTCTTAGGCTTGGGGTGGGATCTTCCTGAGGGCCCTGAAATCAGTGATGGTCAGACAGGCCTGGGTCCGTGCAGGAGCCCCACCCCATCTGCTTTCCCTTTCACCCCTCCCCCCGCATCTGCACAGGTGAGTCACCCAGGAAGAGGGTGCTGGGCACCAGCTGTCCTGGTGGCTCCCTTCCCCCAACCCCCAGCATCCTTCCCACCCAAGCACTGTCCCGTCTTTTGAGCACTGCTGGGTCCTCCGAGCACTGCCCGGTCCTCCGAGCACTGCCCCATCCTCCGAGCACTGCCGGGTCCTCTGAGCACTGCCGGGTCCTCAGAGCACTGCCCTTTCCTCCGAGCACTGCCTCGTCCTCCGAGCACTG